CTGTTTACAGAGGAAGGACCTCAAAATGAATGATAGCCCAAAAGTTAAAATAAGAAACTCTAAATGGCTGTGTAGTTCAGTTGATTTCAGTTCCAGTGGTAAGGAATGTCCCCATTTAAGATATTTGGCAACTTAATACAATTGTTTTACTTCCTTTATCTATTTGCTCATTCAGCTGTGCCATATACTTCTAAATGTTATTTGAAAAGAAATATATCAATTAGTTTTCACATCTCAAATTTTGATTTATTTTTAAATGCCAATATCTAATACAGCACGAATGTAAAGGTTTTCATGATTTACTTTATGAACAAATACTAGGACTGTGCTGTGGGACTGGATTCTAAGGAATCTGAATAAGTCAGAATATCTTGGCATTTATATATATGTTTTCATGTTTTTTTCTTTGATTCAAAGGACCATTTATAGTGCTGAAATAAAAACAAGATTTGGTTTTCACTGTATTTCCAGCATCCAGGAACTAAAATGCTGCAAGAAAGAATCAATGAGGAGCCTTTAAAAATCATAAAGTCCTAAATACAAGGAACCTGTGCACTCCCCTAAAAAAACTAGAAAATGTAACTGACTAGAAACAAAAGGGAAAGTGACCAGTCCAGTTTCATTTAACAAGAAGAATAAAATGTAAAAAGTAGAAATCAAGGCTGGTCTTGTGATTAAGTCACTGCTCTGGAATTCAGTATTATGTTTCACTGTATACAAACAGAGAAATTGAATACAAAACATAAAGTACTCTTGATGGAATGTTGAAACATAATGCTACTTTTTCCTTAGAATTCAGAATGATAACACACAAGAACCCAAAACAGAGAGAGGCAAAATAGGCTGCTCCCTAAAACAGAAAGGCTCTGCTCACCCCACCTTCTTCTACCGAGGCTGGCTAAAAACAGACTCTGCTAGGTCCAGATCGAAAGCTTCCCTACAGAGCCCCCTAGCCGACAGGCAGGACAAGGAAAAAACCATGAGGATTTAAAGCGATAGCTTACAATTTTAATACAGTTTTTAGGAGTTTTGGGTTCAGTTCCTAGATTCCCTGTGTGATCTTGGACAAATCACCTAATCTATCTGTGCCTGAATTCCCCATCTGTAAAATGCGGATAGTAATACTTCCCTTCTCCCAGCCTTTGTCTGTTTAGCCTGGAAGCTCTTTGGGATAGAGTCTGTATCTTAGGCCTGGTCAACACCACAAAGTTTTACCAATAAACTAGCGTTATCTTGGCCCATGTTTGGGAGCATCAACAACAGTAAAACTCTGAATTTCTGTCTATCAAGTTAAACCACCTCCCCGAATTACATAAATCCTCTACTGGCATTGTTCCTCCACTACCATGTCTATATGGATGACGCATGTACCTGTATTTATATATACAGCACCTGGGGCTCTCAAGTCTCAGTTGGAGTCTTTAAGCACTGTTGGAATGAGACAATAACAATCAGACAGTAGGCTAATTGGATCTTTAAAAATATTTTGTTTTAATAATCTAATGTGTTATGAGTAACAGAGATAAGGAATGATGTTTTAATACAGGGGTTCTCAAACTGGGGGTCGGGACCCCTCAGGGGGTCGCGAGCTGTCAGCCTCCACCCCAAACCCCGTTTTGCCTCCAGCATTTCTAATGGTGTTAAATATATAAAAAAGTGTTTTTAATTTATAAGGGGGGGTCGCACTCAGAGGCTTGCTATGTGAAAGGGGTCACCAGTACAAAAGTTTGAGAATCACCGTTTTAATATATACATTTATAGTGACATAGTCTCTAAAACAGATAGACTGTTTCGGGCTTTTTTTTCCATGCTTCCATTTGCACAACCACAGTTTTCTGTGAAGAATTACAATGTATGTGTGTGTTCTTTCTCCCCTTTGCATTAGGACATCTCGCTTCCTTTCATGTCTGAGATTCTTCTAGTATCTTACATTGAAACATCAGGCTGTAGAAACAGGACTCCCTGTATTGTATACAACTACTTGGGCCTTGAAACTGCAGTAGTTATCACAAATAAATAACTTTTCTCCCATGCATATCAGCTCATTACTCAATGTGATAAAATCCTTATTTTGTTTGCATTGGCTGAAATGTCACTTCATCCTGTGATTTACAGATGTTTTTCAATCTGAACTATGTCAAGAACAAGTTCCTGATAACTGTTTGAGTTTAGAAATAACATGTTACATGCTACAAATGTACCCTCTGAGCTATGGCAGAGAGTTACAGTGTATTTTTAACTCAGACCAAGAATGACACAAGGACTGGTTGTTTTTTCCTTGCTATCTCTTTCTAGATATTTAAAAAGACATCTTGTCTCTTTCTGTATCAGTTTGGGGTCAGGCTGACATCAATTCAGCTGGACACACATGGGAATGGAAAAAGACAGTGGTAAACAAGCCACATATCTGCACAGAAACTCTTCAGCTACAACATGCCAGGAAAATGTGTGCACGCTCAAAAAAAGGTTGTGCCATTGATTGGGTTCAAAGAGGAGTTCAGCGTTTATTTCAAAGTGAAAGACAGAGGTTAGCCAGTCTAGACACAGCGCTCAATATAAAACCTAAAAAAGAGCCAGCATTTCACATGATGTAGTAGTAGCTCTGAAACCATAGTCAGGATACCCCCTTCCAGTGGTACTCTGGGGCCAGGAGAGAACTCTCACAGCATAGTCATTTGTTTTGGGCTGCTGTAGGCAGCCCTATTTAGGTTCTTCCCCATCCCCAGGTCTCTGTGCAGAGGATGTATTGGGGATGCGAGTGGACAGTACTGTGCCTCACGCC